ATGTGCGTGGATCCGCGCGGATATATGACGTCAGGATGGCGCAATTTGTTCTAAAAATAGAAAAATTGTCCCATATCATAGGTGCGCGCAGATCCCAAGGCTTACGGTCTCCGTCCCCGATTATGGCTCCTGCATGCACTAAACTAACATGAAAATAAATATTTTGTTGGACCAAAATGTATCAGAAACAACAGAAAGCGAGTTCAAATTTGCCGATTTTAACTTTTTGCCCCCTCAAATTTACACTGCAATATGAAACAAACAATGCAGCCATCGTGAATAAGATCTATTTCTGGTAAAGGAAAGGAAGGCGACAGGGATAGCCTTCGAAACATTTTACTGAAAAACGTTAAGAAAACACTGCTTTATCTATCAATCGTGACATTCAAACATTTAGTAATATACCTTTACTGACTCTTTTTGAGAATTTGATCTTGTTTGTAAAGTCTTCGTTAGTTAACGCTCGCATATCTTTTTCACTAAATGGAAGCCTTGCGCACCCCATCGCGTACAGAACTACACCCATGCTCCACACGTCCGCTTTCTTGCCGTCGTATGGCTCTCCTCGAAGGATCTGGGGACAACAGTAAGCGTACGAGCCGCAGAAGGTTTCTAATAGGCGATTCTTAATAGTGCTGACGGCGAACCCGAAGTCTATAATTGAAGAAAAAGATGTGATTAGGAAAAACAATTTAATGATTCCATGTCCTCATTATCAAGTCTAAAGTATATGATAGAATTGATTAGGAAAATAGTGTGGAAATATTTGGAACTGAAGTGTTATAAAATTAGTCAATAGGAATGTTACGTAAAGAATTTGGCGCGAAAGGAATCGATTTATACTACCAATGATATTTGAAAATTCTCTCAAAATTGCACGCCCCTTCAGGTGAGTGCAATTTGAAAGAATTTTTAAATCATGATGTGTTTGAGGAAAAAACGAACGTGCCTCTATTAATTTGCAAATACGAAGCATTGAAATGGAAATAATGAGAAGCTTTACTGAAGGTTTCACACTAAAATTTGCCTGCACGGATTGCTTTACCTGGGTTTATTTGTAGCTATGGCAAGAGATTTTCACTTAAAACTCTCCGGTGAATTACCTGTGACTTTCAACTTGTCATCTCCACCAATGAGGATGTTCTCACATTTTAGGTCCCTATGTACCACGTGCTCTTTATGGCAATAAGTCATGGCAGCGGCTAGCTGACAAAACAACATGCGCACCTCGTCCTCGCTCAGCATGGATCTGCTATTTATGTATTCTAGCAAGTCTCCTTTAGTAGCTAATTGCAGGATAAGGAAGACTTTGGTTGAAGTTTCCACAACTTCGTATAGCTTGATCTGCGTAAACAAAAAGTATAATTATATAAAACACTACACATTTTTAACGCGTATTTCTGCGGTTGGTCGCATTTGTAACAACGAACCAGCTTTATGGATCATAATATCACATTAGGAGCTGTACTCAGTTGACACAGAAAGCAGCAGCCGAGAAAGAAGAGAAAGCATACAAGGTCAACGTCTATATAGAATGCGCGGGAAAGGGAGAATTAACTTTCAGGGACTGGCTAGGACAGCAAGGCACGCGTACGACTAAGTCAAAGTCGTCAGTCTCCCCAACCAATCAGGACTTGACTTAAACGCACGTTTTCCCGCGCTTGGCATCGATTGTGCGTTTCTGCTCTGTCGGTTCTGATTGGCTGTTCGCGTTGGTTGTGATTGGCCAAATGATATCACTGTAGTTCATGCTTTCATGGCAGTGATAAGAAAAACGCTCAATTTTCCAGGTAAACTGAACTTTCGATTCTGCGCGAATTATCTCCTGCTCGTCAAGAAACGATGATAACTACATTTAGAAGTTATTCGATTTGTACCTCTGTTCTCCGAACGCGACCAAGTTCAAACGTCAACAGGATTCTCAGTGATTTGTGTCATGAGTTTTCTAAGTTATCCAATGACGGTCAATTAATA